GTAAGAGAGTAATATTTATGAAATATATATCTTTAAATGAATATTGTTGAAATTGTTATTAGTTTGTTATGGTAGGGGATGGAGGTATTTGCTGTACATCATCAAAGATGTGAGGTAATTTAACCGTTTTCTCATAGGACGAAATGTGTTGGCTAAGAATAGTTTTTCCTCTTGGTTATATATATATATATATATATATAGTGTAATCCGGATATAAGAGACCCGGATCTAAGAGAAACCCGGATATAAGAGAGATTTTCTCTGGTCCCAAATTAGAGCCTGTGTTAATGTATATAAAATAGACCAAACCCGGATATAGGAGAAACCCGCATATAAGAGACTGCTTCTCCGGTCCCGACAACTCTCTTATATCCGGGTTACACTGTATATATATATATATATATATATATATATATATATATATATATATATATATATATATATACATACATAAAGAAATATAGTCTTAAGGTGTGCTATATTTATGGAATAAAGTGCTCAATATCAGAGATAGAGCGTGTAAATATATAAAAGTGAACATGTTATATGTCAGCCTGACGACAGTCTATAGCATGAAACAGACTGTCGCCTCTACGTGTTGCATTTATGTTCACTTTTTATATATATATATATATATATATATATATATATATATATATATATATACATATATATATATATATATATACACACACACACACACACATATATATATATATATATATATATATATATATATATATATTACATTCACTTGCTTGCTAATAGACTTGAGAAAGGGAATTAATCCTCTTCATTCATCTCCCTCAAGGTATGGGTAAATCGCAGGATAAACGGGGTTCTATAGCCTTGCTTGGCGACTGGTCTAGGAGAAGGACAATTCTGAATTAAAAACCTGCGGAGGGTCGTTTGGGAACCTTGTGACACATAGAACACCAGGTTTCTGTATTCGGCACTTCAAAAAGTGTGTTTGTTTCTGCACAATGTCTTCATCACTATAATCAAGTCATATGTGCTGTTGTCTGGGCTGTCGGTTCCTATGAACTGAGCTGCTTGATCCTCATACGTTGAATATGACGAGAGAGTCCAGCACAGACACACATATATATATATTTATGAAATGGAAAAGTCCGACAATTATTTTAAGATATTTTTTATGTTTATACGTTCTTTTTATATTTAAGTAAACGTTCTGCTCATAATAAACAGTATTAACGACATTTACCGGCCTGAATGTCCGATAAATTTTCATAGAAAAAATGCGTCCTCCGACAGGAATCGAACCTGTATCCTATACGGATCCGTCATACGTGCTTTACCGATTGAGTCACAGAGCGTTTTGCAGGGAAAGTATAATAGATAAATATAAAAAATGTCTTAAAATATATATAAATATATACATATACATTATGTTTAATTTTATTATGTAAGTTAACGTTCATATAATAAAATTGGCGTAACCAATTCATTATTTATTCATGATAGCGTAACTTTCAGTTTTGGGTATTTGTTTTTATTGGATATATTTACTATAATATATTTGGTGGTGCAATATTTTTACTTTGCAACTGGTTCATGATATTGCAAATAAAAGTAGATATAAAAATAGAAATATTTGTTACTTATTTTTTCAATTTCAGATAAAAAAATAAAGAAAAGGTTCGATTACAGTTTACTGCATGTGTCGTAAAAAAGCTATAAACTCAAAAGGAAAAATGTATATTGTAATGTTATTGAGTGGTAGGAATACAAGATTGCAAAACACAGATATGTGAGTAGAGAACTTAAGACAATTGAAAACATTGGCATGATAAGAATAGAAATGAAAAAAAATATAAAAACTGGCTTTAAGAATGTTAGAAAAAGAGATTTTAGAAAAGAATTACAAGTAAGAAAAGTGGATTGACCAGAGATAAAAAAAAAAAAACAAAAAAACAAACTAGATTTGACGAAAAGAAACTTGGCTAAAGATTTGAAAGCAGACAAACTCCCGCCTTTAAGCAAACGTCATATGTTGGGTGAAGAAGTACATGAAAACTAAGTTCTCAAAAGTATTGTTTGTGAAGAATATCGAAATACATCGTCTGGTTCTGTTGGATTAAGTAGATGTTAGAGATTTCATAGAAAGATGCAACCATTCCCTCCGTATTCAATCGTCTAGAAGTAAGTTTTCCCTGAAGAACTCTTCCGTAGAACAGTCTCCAGATATTCTCTCGATCACTACCCGTCATGTCTAGAGCCAACCGTTATGTTCCCCTCCTATCCATACAAACTCCTCCTTTACGTAACTCCCTACATCGAGTGGCCTTCGAGCCTTGTACACAATGAACCTTATTTTAAAAATAACATTATTTACAATACAACAGGTTGTAAATGGAGTAATGGCTTGATTTCCTATTGTAAATCTTCGGTTTATTTAAAGTTGAGGATACTAGCAAGATAAATGTAGAGAATTATGGTAAATATTTTTAAGTGGTACAATTCAAAATTCGGCGCTTTT